TTCCCGCAGCAGCAGCGTTGGTTTATTCTCTGCTCCAGCTGCCATGGTTCCCAGGCAGCCACACTTACACCTTTTTCATATCTTATTATCCGTCTTCCGTTTTCTCATCTTTACTACCCCTTCAGCACTCTTGTCCGTCTTTTTTTTGACACGAGGCTCAGTGCGTCTCGTGTCCCGTTTAGGAGTTTCTCTTGCCCTGTTCAGTTGGCTAAAGCTCAGGGCAGAGCCTTGGCGTCTGCCTGCAGACCTGACGGTGGCATTATCGTGAGTGATGACGCCTCGCTGGTACCTTGGTATTCGGCTAGTGAAACGTGATTGCTTTGCTTTGATACAGCCCAAAAAGAAATGTCTGTTTGGCTTTTGGGTTGGTTGGTTTGTTTGTTTTTTAAATATTAGGAGTGGCAAGTTTTAACAATGTTTTTTTAAGAATGGAAATAAACCCTTTTTACATATATCTTATATGGAAGCTGATAGCGAGGCAAGTCTGCTTCTGTTTTGTGGTGTTGAGATACTCCTTTACAGGTTAAAAAAATCCAGTTGTGTAAGGAGAGCTGGGCCTGGTCAGGACTGCGGGGTGCCGGGTCCTCGATGGCGCTGGGTTGCTTGAGCGGAGTGAGCGAGCCGGGAGGCAGAGCGTGGCTGGGCGGGGGGACAGCAAAGCAACTGCTGCTCCCCAGAGCCAGAGTGGCACGAAGGTTTAAGTACGGAAAATCCCAGCAGAGACCTCGTGGTGGAGACTGGGAAAAATTTTATCCTTCTCTCTCACTGAGAGCTCTGCGCACGGAGGATCAGTAAGCTTGTTAACAAGTAAATTGAAGTTGTGGCTTCGAGAGAAGTGAGTCTTCACAGCGATTTCGTAAATGTTTTCGGCCACATGTGCAGTGCTGCAGAGAGACTCTTCTTCACTGATTCAGAGTATTTCTGTAGTTTTCTTTGAAAAGAAACAGAGGGCTTTTTTTAAAAAGGTATGATATTTGGCAGAAGTCTTGAATGATGGGAAATCAATTTGAGTTCTGTGGTCAGATACCCTTGTTACACCCAACCTCTACCATAATGAAGACGAACATCCCCTGAAGGTTTTGGTTTGCTCTTCAGTACACAAATCCCACGTTGCAGAAAACCGTACGTGTCTTCCAAGCTTCGTTCTGTGCAAATTCTGGGTCAAAATGCTTGAGCCTGGTGACTAGGAGAGGTTTAGCTGGGGCTGAATGAACGCAGAGGATGGCATGTCCCGTGTCTGGTTATTTGAAGTTACAGGCGAAGCACAAGCCTGCAAGGCAGATTTTGTTTTTTTTAATGGTGTTCTGCCGTGCTGTACCTGCCCCGAGAGCTTTGCCAGGGTGAGCTGACGTGGATAACCTCAAACGCCGGATTCACTGGGGCTCCTACTGTTAACCAGAGTGAAGGTAGGATGTGCCCTGCAAAGTGATTCTCGTGGTGATGCCGTTGTAGATAATGAATGTACAATAATAAGCATTTAAGAAGTTAGGTGAAATCTTCTCTTCTGCAGGACAGCAAATGGTTTATTTCTGCCTTTTACAGGACGTAGCGACACATGTGATGTATTTCTTCCAAATCCTTTGAGGCATTATTACAAATAAATAACGGGTGTCTACAAAATTATAAACTCCTGTAAATTATGCAAAGGGGAGATTAGAAACTACTTGTAACTTTCCAGATTATGGTGAGATAGCAAATATAAGCAAGATTATTATGATGGCCAAAAGAGAACAATGCTTCTTTAAAAAAATTGATTTAAAAAAAAAAATCACTGCTTTTTGGAGGTAATAGTGTATTTGGATGTGAGGGAGGGAAATTGGACTTGGACTTCTGCTCACTAAACTTTGGTACCTAAAGGTTTTTGGTGGTTGTTCCCCTGGCCAGCTGCAGGAATTTCTGTTTGCGGCATCTTGAAAGAAAGAGTTGGTGGAGACTTGTTTCAGTTGTAGTTATCGCTCCCATTGCTCCGTGTACACTACTGCGAGAGTCTGACAGCATAGACTGAGCGCCTGCGCTTCGGGTCCTCTCATCTTGATGAACGATGAATAAAAATGAGGATTTGGCTAATCGTAGAACAGCCCAGCTTGGAAGGGACCTCAAAAGATCATCTGGTCCAAGGAGCATCTGGACCAAAACCGATAATCGCACAAAAAACCCCTTCTTGATGTACAAAGCACAAATGCTGAGCAACGAGAAGGACGGTTTCTCTGCCCCGCTCGCTCCCCGAGCACAGCCCGCTCTGAAGCGCCGGAGCAGATGTGTTTGCTGAAGGTGGGAGAACTAAACGGGGAGGGTGGTGTTTGCCATCGCTAGGCGTGAGTAGGGCCTGCGGCCAAGATGAAAACGAATGTCCCGGCCCAGGTACCGAGGTCACCGTTGCGGCAGCCTCCAGGATCGCCTAGAAGGCAAGCCCAGCCTGAGCAGGGACGAGCGAGTGAGTTGCCTTAAGCTCCCTCGTGCCGCGGCGCAGGGTGGGATCCCCTCCAGAAAGCCTGTGAGGGGCTTGGGAGTGGCGGTCATTGCCAGGTGAGCTTTAGGCAAAATAACATAAACCCAGAGCGTTGGAAGGGACTGAAATTGAATGACTCGATAGAAAATAACTTTTCCCCTCGTTTTATTGGGTTGAGCTGTACGCATAATGCTCATATATTTTGCTCGTCCTGTGCTTCATGGTGTATTAGGGACCTATGGAGACTCAGAAGCATGTCCAGCAGTTGGTTACAAAATGATTTAAGAGGTTTTTATTAGTGACGTTCCATTTGAAAGGACCGGTGAAGCCTCGGTGTATGCTTCTGGGGCAATCGACTCTAATAATCAAAAACATTACAGAATATATTTGTTATTTTGTCTCCCATTCTATCCATTGTAAACCAGAAAATGAAGCACGGAGCACAGCCAGGGCTCGTGCGGGTCCTGGGGGTAAGAGGAGCACGTTTCCTGTTGCCGTACACATGCTCCTGTTACTAATGAAAAAATTCTGGCTGCTGTTCTGGAAAGAATAAGAATTCAGTGTTCCTGCCTTTCCTCTCCACGCTGTTGGACAAGGACGGGACCTAAACCACAAGAGTTGTTACTTATTGCCATGTGCAAAAGGACATAGAGAAACTTATCTTCTGGGGGTATGTTGTAGTGACGCATCTCCCCAGTTTTTGTTTTTTGTTTGTTTGGGTTTTTTTTTTTTTAATAGAAACTTTCTTGTTGCCCAAAATATCTCAACTGTGGGAGAAATTCCTTTTGTGCCTTGTACACTGATTTCCCGCACGTCCTGTATTTCACTCTTAGCAATTCACACGTGGGGAAAAAAACACCTGAGGGGGACAGTGTTTTTCTTCTTCTGTAGGCTAGGGTAGCTTAAGCAGTCTTTCTGATTAATCTTAATTTTCAGCTAAAACATAAAGAAGATGATAAAAATCTTGGGTAATGTGGTTTTTGTTAAGTAGAATATAGTGAAATATCACTCTTCGTATAGTAATTTCATGTATATTATAATCCGATGTCTATCTGGAAAGTGGATGCGTTGTTAATTCTTTTAAAGAGGACGTCTTGATTTGGAAGCTCGAGGAGAACCGCTTGTACGTCTTCAGAAATAAAAGTAGTTTTAAGTATTAAATATAGTTTTTAATCGTTTTAAGTATTTAAACAGCTGTTGTTGTATTCTGCACTGCTCACAGCTGAGCTGTTCTAGCGTGACAGATTGTTGAAGAGAATCTGAACTAACCCGGCTGTACTGTCCAAACTGGAGGTTGGGAACAGAAAGAGGCAAAATAAATGCAGAAATAAGCTAGGGTGGGGTTTTCTGGTGTTTTTGTTTTCTTTTCTTTTTTTTTTTTTCTCGTTTTTCAAAATGCCTAATTACTTCTTAAAAAGCCCTTAAACAAGCTGCACGTGAGAAAGGTCTTCTCTTCCTTTAGGGAAGACAGAGTCCAACATCACTGCTCCAGCGCCGGCTGCCGCTTTCCTTCGGAGGGCGTGCAAGATGTGGCGACGGAGCAAACCCTCCGATGCTGCTGTTGAGGTGAAGAGACACTGAAATGTGCTCACTGCCTAACTCTTGCCTCCTCCACCCCTTGCAGAATAGCCGGTGTGGGAGAGCGTCACTCCGTCCGTTACGGCTGTACCGTGGATATGCTACTCCCTCGGGAGAGTCCGGGTACGTAGGAGGTTTTGGAGGGGTGGAATCGGTTCTTCTGTTGCGTTGGCCAAGAGGGAATCTGCTCCTTAGTTTCACATGAGAGCAAATTGGCAGTGGTGGGATTTGGGTTTTTTTTGTTGAGTAACTCTTATTTTCATGGTTTTGTGTGTTCCTTGTTTGATTCAGTCAGATTTAAAGGAAGCTGATCATGATCAATATTTAGAAGGAAGGCTGTGGGTTGCCGTCTTATCTTTGGGCTAGTCATGAACCAGTACGGTACCAGGGATTCACTGGTGCTGAAAGTGATTTAAAGTGGATGCTGGGTTTGTTGGGAAGCTTCTGGAACAGAGTGGTCGTCCCCAGCTGTAAGCTGAAGACTTATAATCTGTTGGATGTTTGTCATATAATAAAATTTACATAATTTTCACTCTGTCCTGTACGCCAGCTATGATACGCAATTCCGGGAGAGCGTAGAGAAGGCTGTTCCCTACTCCGATAAACTCTTTGAGATGGCACTTGGTCCTGCACCTTACAGCACACCGACGCCAAAGAAACCGGTAAGCGTTTCCCGTTCACCCCCACCCTTTCATTTTTGTTTTTTAAAGAGAGCATCTGCTCTTACTTTTCAAATTCTGATTAATTTTGTTGCGTGCTAGGTTTAAGGATTATGTACTAAGGTGTGACGTGGTGCTGCGTAACAGTGCTGCTTGTACGTTTGCCGTTATCATCTTGTGATTGTGGTCTGTGGGTTGTAAAACTGTGAATTTTATTTACAGTAAAATAATCTAGTAGGATCCTAACGGAATAGCTCTTCTGCTTATACTTGGATACATTGAGAGAGAGGTAGGTGACGCATTGGAATTCAGCTGGTTTACTGCAGCTGGAGATTTAGTGTAGTTAGCGATGTAGCAGGGTTAGACCACTCTTATTCGAAGCTGAATTTATTTCAAAGAAAACTGAGGACTTTTCAAATCAATAAAACTTTGAATGGTACAGAGCCACGTGTAAGCATTGTGCTTTGAAATCCCAGTGACGCAACCCTGCAGAAGGGAAAACTTGATACAGCCTTCAGCACAACCCTGGAAATTGAATCTGGAAGTTTCTCTGTTCCTGCATCTGAAAGCAAATGCTTCCCAATTGTCCAAGAATGCTGAAAAGCTGCTCTGGCCATGGCTGTCCTGAGCTTTCAGAAGCCCTTTGGCCTTCAAGAAACCCAAAATATTTTTAATTGGAGTTTAAGAAAGCTGTTCTTAATGAGTGGGAGAATATCAGCTAACCAAAACTGTGTCTCTTCTGGTTTTAGCTACACTTGACTTGTGATCAGCCAAGCGCTTAATGCCTCCCAGGCACTAGGAAATTTTGCAAAACAGACCAGTCAGACAGCAAAGTCATCATCTGCCCAGTCATGGCTCTAACTCGGATGCTTTTATTTTTACCTTATGGCTTTGCATGATGGATATTAAAGGATTAATATCATAAAACCTCACAATACTCTGCACTTGAGTAAGTGTTCGCCTGCCCCAAACGCTCGCATCTGAATCCTTGCAAAGGGAAATCAGTGAAGATGTGCAACTCGGATTCTCCATGCCTGTCCACCCCTCGTCGTGCCTGTAGCATCTTCTGTTCGGTGATATCAGACAAAATCATCATGTTTGTTCTTTTTTTAACAACACATCTTTAATTGCGCAGTCCCGTATCTTTAAAACAATTATATATTTTTTTTTCCACTACAACTTGAAAAGGAATTGCCTAGAAACTGAGCAGGACGGGAGGGGTGACTCCCGTAAGCGCTGGTGGACAAAAAATCACAACTGAGGGAGCGAGCTGGTGGAGCAGTTACCTGAAAAACTGAAGTTGGGTAGAGAAGACTGACGGCCTAACTTGTTTTAAAAATAAATGCTCAAGAGGTTTGAAATGAAGAGGAGAAGTGTCAGCTGAATTAATGAAGATACACCTGTAGGGACTAAATGATGTCCAAGGGGAAATAATTGAAATCCGCTTTCTGGAGTTGTTTCAGACCTCCGTGTGTGTGTGTGACTCTTTTAGTTTCTGCGTTATCTGTAGTGTTCCACACGCTTCTGAGTATTTGGAATATTTGGGGCATGAAATTATTTACTTTTTATGCATACCTTAATAAATATTTGTTTGTAGTGAAAACTGCCACTACTATACCTTCAGTTTTGGAGAGGTGAAAATTGTAAAGCTTCCCTCTAAATTAAAAGTCAAGGCAAGAAATTATATGGCCTTGCTACTGTTTTCGCGTGTACCTTGAAGTTCAGATTTGTGATACAGTCGTCTGGTCACGGAAATGTCCTTTTCCATTATAATGGAATCGGTGAGACACAGGCTGTTTGGAAAACTGATATTTCTTGTTTTCGATTTTTCAAGATACAGCAAGGTCCACTGAAGATCTCATCTGTAGCAGAAGTAATGAAAGAGTCTAAACAGCCTGCTACTAAATCCCAGATGAGCAAAACAGAAGCTGTGGTTCCTTCAGAGGAAAAAGAAGGTAAATTTATGGAATGTCATGTAGAGAGAAGCCAAAGACCTAATGATCTCCTATATCATCCACGCTAGGGTAGATTAAAAGAGTCCTTTGGAATGGCTGAAGAGGAGTATGTTATAGTTTCTTAGAATTAATGTTATTTTCTTTTCAGTCATCAGAAAATTTGCCTAAAATGGCTTTAGCTTTTTTTCTTGCTATTTTTTAGGAAATTTATTTACTTTATAGAATATCTGGAAGCTAAGATAACCGATGACTATCCTGCATAGTTTAGATATGA